TCACACATCACTCAGTCTAGAAAGTTGATCTAAAAATGGGCGAATTACACTAACAGTCCCTATAGTCTGAGACTTGTGTCACTTTAGTCTCTGACTTTTCAATTGTGACACATTTAATCCTGAATTTTGAATCTTATTTCAAATAAAGACAATTGAAGATACCATTACTCAATTTGAAGGGCAAAGTCATCAATTTGATAAAATATGAACTAATTTGACAAAATAAATATCAAAAAAATATTTTTGAATTTTTACAAATTATTTCTATCAACCAAAGATAAAATTATATAAAATTGAAAAATCTTTTACACATTTATTTTTTTTACCAAATTAATTTTTATTTCGTGTTTGGATGATGATCATGTAATGGGTGGTTATTTTTATTTTTATTAAATTAGTTTCTATTTTTCAAAACTCAAATATGACAATAACTTTAATATCATTATTAAACCAATCCATTAAATCAAAAAATTTAAAACTAAAAACATTTCATACAAATATATCGATTACATTAAAAGCCTAGCAAGCACCCATTACATGATCATCATCCAAACACATAATAAAAATTAATTTGGTAAAAAAATAAATAAATGTGTAAAAGGTTTATCAATTTTACATAATTTTATCTTTGGTAAATAGAAATAATCTTTAAAAATTCAAAAATATTTTTTTGACATTTATTTTTGTCAAATAATAATCTTTAAAAATTCAAAAATATTTTTTTGACATTTATTTTTGTCAAATTATGGCTCGTTTGGGAACCTTTCTTTTTAACCAAAAAGTCAAAAAGTTACTAAATTAGCCAAAAAGTCAACAACCTATACCAAAAGTTAAAGATTCTATTTTCTCTCTACTTTTTGCACATCTTTTCGTAAAAAGCCAAAAACTCATCCCAAACATATTAGTTTTTTTTAGCTCATATTTTAGCCAAATAGTCAAAAAATTACTAAATTAGTCTATTCCCAAACGAGGCCTTAGTTTATATTTTATCAAATTGACAACTTTGTCTTTAAAATTGAGCAATAGTATCTTTAATTATCCTTATTTAGAACAAGATTTAAAATTTATAGTTAAATATATCAAAATTAAAAAATTAATGACCAAAATGATATAAATTTCAAATTATAGGGACGGTTAGTATCCTTATATATCATTTTCTTTTTCAAAAATGAAATCAAATAAAACTGTTGACGTATCTCTTTAGAAAAATATTATACATAAATAAATTTTCAAATGTTATTATTGCCAGACACACCTACGGTGATTTATATGAATATTTATTAATATAATTACTTTTGTATCAGGTAGTAACAAAAGTATGATAAAAATCCATTTATGTATGAGATATATTACTCTTGTATTTTTAAAATAAAATACTTGGCATTAATTTACCTTTACCAAAGAATTTTCTTGAAATATACTCCCTATCAAGCCAAGAGTTTTTAGAAAGATGGAGAGAAAAGTCCAAATTTAAATTTTTTGTGGCCAAAGGTCCATGTCATATCCTAGGGCTCTCCCTAAACTATCTCTCTCTCTCTCCCCTTCTCTTTCTCTCTCTACTAGATCTCTCTGTCATTTCGCCAGAAACAATGGCCATTCCGCCGTCTCCGCTAAGACTAGCTTTCTCTTATTCGTTTTCATCGTCTTCATAGCACGGCGCTACCATCGGAGCTACAATGGGAAAAGTGTCATGACTCAAACTTGCCCCTATAGGTTTAGCGTCATAACAAACTAGTAATCCTAGGATTACCTACGGCCTCTGAAACAGATTAACAAAATAAGGGACTAACGGAAGTAAATACATAAATTTAATCGTCCAATGAGCTGTACTAACTTACATGGGACAGAGCAAATTTAAACTTTATATACAAATATTATATACGTCATCATCACATCAATCTTACATCATCTTTATATACAGATAAACCAAAACGGGACTTAACCCTAGTTACAAAGTATACAAAAACTTAACCAACAAACAAAGATAATAAACTTGTATCTTGTTCACAAAAAATGATCACTTTACACTACGGGAACCTCTACGGGAGGCACATAAGTTGGCTGACAAAACACAGATTCAAACAGGTGCCCTCAGGCCTGATCTTGCACTTGCTCACCTACATATATATACAAACAGTGAGTTATAACCCAGTGAATAACATTAATGTAAAGAAGTTAGTGAATGAATTCCAAACATTTCATATTCATAAAACAGATCATAACAGAGTTAATTCTCATATCTGAACATAATAATGGTACATCTAATAGAACATATTATATTGTCAACCGACTAGAGTAATCGGTTCCGGATACCGGTTAAACATATCACCACTTTGACAAGTGACTAACGAGATCTTGTAATCATATATATGTCATGGACCCTCATTAACATATTGTCCCCCATAACTTGGGACTATCTATGTATTCTATAATAGATTTCAAATATAGGATATTTGTTCACGTAAACAAATATCATTTTAGAAATCATAACTTATCAAATCACATTTGAAACATAATTCATATGAACATATCTTTACAATAACGTTACTCACAGTGGGCTTCCAGAAATGGTTGGTCAGTCTCCGAACATTGACCTACAAACACAAATGTACATAGCGCAAAACATGTCTCATTATTACTTATTCATATGGCCATGCATGGCTTAGATTTCTTCCTTTAACTTCTTATTAATTCTGTATCGCATAACTTGTTCATATTGAACCATATACTTGGATTCGACACATATTTTCTAATTCATTTACGCATGTTGTTTCTTAGCTTATTAATCCTTAATGTTTCATAAATCATGCCTAAGAACCCGGAAAGAGATGGGAGCAAAGATATGTACTTAAAACATCTTTTGAAAACATGCTGAAAATGAGCTGTTGGTTAGAGCAAGCTGAAGGCAAAAACTGAGTTCGCTCAAGCCACCATTTGGTCGCTCGAGCTAGCTTTTGCATAGTGCAAAATACTGGGAGCTTGCAATGTTGGCTCGAACCAGCACTTGATCGCTTGAGCCAGCTATGAATTTCTCGGCACCAAGTTTAACAAAAATGGCTTCCAAACAACCTTCAAAACTTGGGGTTTTGCATGATTTGATCAAACACATAAAAATAGCTTTAGAAAACTCCAATATAAGACCTTTAAAACATCTTTTATTCAAAAACTTATCAATTCTTGAAATATTTAAACCAAAACTTCTTTATATAAGATTTTTCAACTCTTCTCATGGTTTTTCATAACATGCAAAAGGTGATCAATAAACTCATGAATTCCTGAAACAATGGATATGATTTAAAATCACGTGCATACAAGGACTTTAAAACTCAAACTCAAAATGATAAAATCAAAGCGATCTACCATAAATGTACGTGCAAGCCATCTGCATGTTCAAAGACCTATTTCCATACAAATATCATGAAATTAGTTAAATAACTTGATGAACTCATAATGCCTGAAGGATTTACAATATAAATTAGTCATAGAATTCTTACTCAAAGCTTTAATTTCAAAAATATGCGATGAACCTTCCTAGTTTATTCAATCTCTAGCACAAAAATGGGCTTCTCTCTCTAGAATGAGCTATCTCCCTCTCTCTTTCTCTTTCTCTCTCTCTCATTTCTCTCTAGGATGAACTCTCTGCTCAAAGAAGTAAAAAGAACAAGAGGAATGTTGCCTACATTTCAGCAGATATACACATAGGCGGTGTTTGGGAACTTTCAAGATAGGATATTTTAGCCTCAAATGGCAAAAAAGCCTTTTAGCCTCACCTAACCCATTGATTTTAAATATAAAAAAAAATAATTGAAAAGCAACGGCTGTCCAGCGCACAACAGCCTACACTGTCACCAACAGTGTAGGCTTCAGACAGTTAAATGACGATTTTACCCCTATAGATCAATTTTGGAAAAAATAAGATTAAGGGCAAATTTGTCATTTCAACTTTAAATATCATTTCAAACACATATTTCAATACGATAATCAACCCAAAAATTTAACCCAGCTTCCCAAACACAAAAACTAAAATAACCTACTAAAATAGTCAAAAAGCCAAAAAGTTTAAAAAAAAACCACTTTTCAAATACCCACATACACACACACTCTCACAATTTAAACAAACAACATATGTACACACATGCACCACTCCAACACACCCATAAGAATTTATCCTCTACACTCAACACCACCAAATGCCTAACTCAGATTTCTCAGTACACCTACATATATTTCTCAGCACACTCACTTAAGGATTTTAATCATCTACACTCAACATTATAAAATACCTCAGCACATCATACATTTAATCATATCTTGGATCATGAACATGAGTAGATTAGGCATAAATCATGCATCATCTTAATTAAACATAAGTTACCTTAATTAATCAAGGTTAGCACATGACTCAATTAACCCAAAACAATTTCAATTAATGCTCAATTTAATCACATGCGATTTTACTAAACTGAATCAATTTTTAACAAAACTCCTCAGATGGTTCCTAAAATTCTAATTAGTTTATCCATGAGCTCAATTTCAGTTTTTGAGACCGTTTAGGCTATCAAATTTCATATCAAAGCAGAAATCATGACAGATATTACTACGAGTAACAGATAAATAACCAGACAAAAAGCCAAATAACATACAAAACACATAATTTATTTTAATCACTTAATTAACATCCTTAATTATAGATTAGTAATTAATTACATATCGGGGTTGTTACAAAAAGCCAAGCAAGGCATCGGGGGGAGCATCTTACTGACGTTAGACTTCCGAAAGGACATCGGACGGAAGATCTCAACAGATCCAAGATTTGAGATCAAGGATCTCGCGATGGCAATATAGTTTACGTCTTGGATGAGTAGCATTGTATGGATCATCTTTACCACTTCAGTGGTGTCATCATAGCCTCGGAGGTCTGGCGCCACCACTTTGTAACCGTGCGTCGCCATGTAGAGGATCTGGTGCCCCAAATAAGTTAAGAGCAGGTACACACACAAAGAGAGAGAGAGAGAGAGAGAGAGAGAGAGAGAGAGATGTTGCGAAGTGTTTTGTAGTTTGAGTGAAGCTTGCAAAAGACAACTCTCTACTTCAAACAAAGACTACGCAAAGAAAGAGTGAAAATTTGAAAGGTTTCAAACAACTCTTTTGAGAGAACGCAAATCTAAAACAGCTTCAATTTTTTTTTTTTTTTTTGAAAAATTTAAACAGGTAGTCTCTCTATTGTTGTTGTTGTTATTATTATTATTATTGATGATAATGAATGATGATGAAATATATATATTTTTTTTTTGCATGTTTTAGATTTGCGTTCTCTCAAGAGAGTTGTTTGAAACCTTTCAAATTTTCACTCTTTCTTTGCGTAGTCTTTGTTTGAAGGATGAAATATATATATATATATTTTTGCATGTTTTAGATTTGCGTTCTCTCAAGAGAGATTTGTGAGGTGATGATTGAAATTTTTTGAAAACAAATATTGTTTCTCTCTATACTCTTTCTCTTTCTACCATTGTAGTTTTGGTGGTAACCATTGTTGAGAAGGGTTAGAACAGAAAGAATGAGAGAAAGAAGAAAGGAAATGAGCAAAGATTTCAACAGATAGTGGATTCAAAAAAATTGAACATACATTTTCAACAGATAGAAAAAATAAATAAAAATTTAAACAGATAAAAAATTTGAACAACAAAAAATTGAACAGATGGGGAAAAAAATTGAACAGATAGATATGTATTTGAACAAATAGTCAACAGATACATTAAGGAGTAAAATTGAAAACAAAATATTTTCTAAAACTAACAAAAAGACTTCTCACCAAACTATTTTACAAAGATGGATCTCTCACCAATAAAAAATATCCACTAAACCTAATATTTTATATTATTTTCATATTACAAATTTAAGGTAAACTACTAATAGGTCCTAATAGTTTGACTTAATTCTCATTAAGTCCTATTGAAAATAAGTTTTAATAAAATCGTCGTTAAGAATAATTTTTTGTGACAATGTTTTGTATATATTGCTAAAAATTGACAATTAGCGATTTTTTTTTTGTCATTGTTTTTATATATTGCCTCTAAAACTTACGAATAGCAACGTTTTTCTATAACGAATTTTTTAAACTGTCGTTGAAAGTTAAAAATTAGTGAGTTTTTTTATAATGATTTTTTAAACTATCATTAAAATTTATAATTAGTAACATTTTTTGTGATAAAAATTTTAAACTGTCGTTAAAAATTAACAATTAGTAACATTTTTTAATAATGTTTAATAAAAAATATCATTAATTATTATAAAGACTTATTAAATAATTAATTCACTTAGACGTACACATAAGTCCTCATAAATTTGTTAACAGTTTTCTCGAGTTTTTATAGGCGGAATACATGTAGCAATAATTTGTTACGCAAGTAAACTCCGTTTAGTGGAACCGTTACATTTCACGCATACACGGCTCATTGGTCGGCAACAACAATTCGGTCTAGTTAATCGGCTTCCCAATCATTTTTTTTTGAAAAAATTACAATTATGTGAAAGTTTTTAATTTTTTTAAACTAATTATAAATTTTATTAACATTAATAATTAAAATTATAAACTTTTTCATTAATTTATTATGAAAATCTCACTAATTTGCAATTTATCCTTCTTCATTCCACATTATCACAAGTATAGCTATCATGTGTCATTAAAAAAGGTTGAACTTACCATTTAAATAGTATTCAGTTTGTTTGATTTTAATTTTTAGAAATAAGTTTTTAAAAAAATTTACTTTTTATTTTCTGTATTTTAATGATTTAATGAATTTATTTAATATATTAAGATTTTTTTAAAAAAATTTTAGACATACATAACATAAATACACTTAAAAAATTAATATTTATAATTTTTTTTGGTAAAATTTTTAATTTATAAATTAGTGGTCTCGGTTTATAAATTTAGCCCAAAAATAAAAACACAAAAAATGTGTTTTCGTTTTTAGTTTTGAGTTTTTTTTTTTTTACCACCCAACACTAGCCACCACCCACCACCATTTTCCACCACCGTCTTTCGTCACCACCACTCACCCCCCACCACCACCTGCCACCACCACTCACTACCCACCTGCCACCACCACTTTCCATTTCCATCATCAAATCCTCCAACCAAACACAGCCCTGATAACATCTATTAAATTGTCAAAAAAATACTGCAATTAACTGCATGTATCAAAGCAGGCAAACTCATTTCATTCCGAATGTTAAAAGGTAATAATAGAAGGCACATTTATGCACCAGTAGTTAAGAAATCAATGATCACAACCACCACATTTCAGGGAGACAATATATGGGTAGTCACCAATAAGATCTAATATATATTATTTACATGGCAATAAACAAAAAAGGATAAATGAAAATAACCCACATCTTAGAAGCTTGCTGAATGATCGATCAGCTATCTTTAAAGCAAAATACAAAGAGATATACTTGAGAACATTCATGAACATCAAGAACAGAGCAGAGGCAAAACACAAATATGTTCCATTTAGTGTTTTGTTCTTTTCTTAGTTTAGTTTACTCGGCAAACAAACGAATTATAAAAAGAAAAAAGTCGAATCAAGCAACGTCCCAAGCACGGGATACAGACGAAGCATGAGGAGAGAATATCGAACCAAACAATCTCTAAACACAGAAAACCCAAGGAACATATACTACATAGACGAACAATCGACTGAAAATAAAAGAATACCCTAAGAGAGTGATGCAGGTGGAGGAAGCTTACCCCAAAACTCCATGGAAGCTGAGGAGAGAGAAACTAGGGTTTTGTAGGGAGAGAAAGAGAAGAAAGCAGACAGGAGGCTTTGAAAGAGGCAGAAAGAGGAGGTTTTGAAGGGAATTTATAACGGAGTTGCCGCCAGGTTGAGGTTCTAGGGTTTTTGAGAGAGAAAAAAAAGAGTGTTTTTTTTTTTTTTTTTTGAAACTGTTGGTTTGGTTTTTTTAATTATTTTTTTTTTTTTATTTGTTGGGTTGTGTCAGTTTGATTGTTTTTATTTATTTATTTATTTGGTGGGCTGTTGTAATTTTTTTTTTTTTAAAGGATGGTTATGTGTAGGGGTGGATTTAAAGTTTAGGATTTAAGGTTTAGGTTTTTATTTCATCCGAGTCTTTCTGATTTGAAATAAAAATATAGTAAAGTTTCGTACAAAACTATATGGGTTGTGCTGTGTTAGTTTGGTTGTTTTTATTTATTTATTTATTTGTTGGGCCGTTGTAATTTTTTTTTTTAATGTATTGGAGTGGGTTTAGAATTTAGGATTTAAGGTTTAGATTTTTATTTCTTCCGAGTCTTTCTGATTTGAAATAAAAATATAGTAAGGACTCATACAAAATTATATGAAATTAACAAATTTTAACCAGCAGTCTAGCTGATCAGTCAATTTTATCACCCAATCAGTCTAACCCAACTGTTTTTTTTTTCTTTCTTTTTCTATTTGTTGGGCTATGTCGGGTTTATTTTATTTTATTTGTTGGGCTGTATTGATTTGATTTTTTTTTTATTAGGGTTTAGGTTTTAGGATACACATAAAAACCTTTTCAAAAAAAAAAAAAACAACTGTTTATTTTCAGAGGTAAAATAGAAGAGATTAATAGTAAAAAAATTATTAATAAAAAGATTGATAATGAAGGAATTAAATAAAATTATATTTATTTTGATGATAATTATTAGTGTAAAAATTATTAAATTATTTATATATAAATGATAAAATAAATAAAAAATATAAAAAATTAAATATTAATGTTTAAAAAAAAAATTCTAATATGTAAAAAATAAAAAAATTTATAATCCGCTCACTATTTTTCTAATACAACCTTCACCTCCTCGATTCCAATTCCCCTTCTAACCTCCATCTTAATTCCCTTTTTCATCCTAATCACTTTTTTAACTCTATAAACAAATACAACACTAAATAACCCTACCTTCATCCTAATCCCCTCCTATCCATTACACCCCAAAACAAACGAAACCTTAGATGACTCATAAAAGATCTAAATGATCGATTAAATGTCACATACTCACATGTATTTTGACAATTTTAAATTACATGTAAAAGTAAACCAACCATTTCAATAATCAACCTATCTTTCAATTTTAAACTATTTGTACGTTTCACCCCTTGTGCTTGTTTGCTCGAAACAAAGATTACGTCGTATGTATGTTCTATTTGTACGTTTCACAAACGTTCAACAACCAATGATGAGTTTTCCTTTTCTTTTTATTCATCAAATTTAAATTTATTTTTAATTTTCTTATTTTTATAAAATAAATTGAAAACTTGCCTCGTTTGGAAACAGACTAATTTAGTAACTTTTTAGCTATTTGGCTAAAATATGAACTAAAAAAAACTAGTATGTTTGGGATGACTTTTTAACTTTTTACGAAAAGATGTGCAAAAAGTAGAGAGAAAAGAGAATAGAGAATCTTTGACTTTTTGGTATGAGTTGTTAACTTTTTGACTAATTTAATAACTTTTTAATTTTTTGGCTAAAAATGAAAGTTGCCAAATGAGGCCATTTGAAATTAAATCAAATAAGAGCATGTTTGGGAAGCGATTTTTTTTACTGATTTTTTTTTTCCCATTTTATTCATCAAATTTAAATTTATTTTTAATTTTCTTATTTTTATAAAATAAATTGAAAACTTAATTTGAAATTAAACAAAATATGAGCATGTTTGCGAAGCAATTTTTTTAGTGAATTTATAATTTTTAACTGAAATATGAGATGTAAAAAGTCAATATGTTTAAAAAAAACTTTTTGACATGTTATCAAAAAATGTACAAAGAGAAAAAAGTAAAAAAGAAAAAATCTTTAACTTTTTTTTGCATGGTTTAAATTTTTTTAAAACCTTTTAACTTTTTAGTAACTTTTTAATTTGAAAAAATATCAAAAAAAAAAATGGAAAATAGAGAAAATAATTACAAAATTATAAAAGTACAATACTCATTTGCGTAATTTAGTGCATAAATCGCTTGCACATGAATTTTCAATTAATTTTTCAACTTCTCACTTTTTTTAATATTTCCCCTTTTATTTTTTTTTATTAAATAGTTATTTTTTCCCAAACAAACCCTAAGGTATAAAATTTTTGAAAAGTTTGAAACCCGCGGCCGTATATAACTTCAAAATCATACGCAGCCACCAACTAACGGCGTTAAAAAATACACCGCACCGTACACTCATATGGTATGATGCTGTAAACAGCCTCGCACAGACATATCGCACAGACATAGCTCCCTGTCGATAAGCCCAAAATAAAAACGAAGAGAGAGAGAGAGACTCAACGAACGCATTGTTCTTTCTCTCATTCATACAGATCAGAGGCAAATCGTAAGCAAATCTCTCACATTTCCTTCAATTTCGACTCTCTCTCTAGTTCTCGATCTCTTGGTTTGCATTCATGTGCTGTAATGCACTTTCGATTTATACTCGATTCCTGAAGAGATCTGTATGTTGTCATTTTGTGTTGGTTTTTTTTTTAAAATTTTTTTTTTTATGACTACTGATCTCTATATGTGGTTTCATGAATTTTCTTCAATTTTGTGCTTTTTTATGGACAATTTTTTATTTGAAAATTAAGGCTTTTTGGATTTTTGGTTGTTTTGTTAATTTATACCTTTGAAGTTTTGCTTCGTTGATTTGAAAAATGTGGGGAAATAAATGAAGATTAAAGTCAGAATCTTTGCTTTGGGAATTGAACATTTGAATTTGAATGTGTATGAGTATGTCTAATAGTCCTGTTTGGTTGAGTTAGGTGGGAATTCATGGACTAATAAGCTAAACAAAAAAATGGGATACTATGTAGAAGAATTGTTCTGGGTTTTGTGTTATGAGTTTTCTACATGCTTGCATTTTGCTCATACGGTGGGTTTTTGCAGGATCAGATTTATAATGTAGAAAATTCCAGATGTGAATTCATCCAATTCCTAATGGGGGTTGTCTTGCATTTGAGGTCTTCTTGTATGTTTTGCTATTTATATCAGAGCTTATAGTCATCTATTTACACAAACACGTACATGTGTGATGTATTTATCTCTGCTTTGCTTCCTTATTTGATTTTTGTTCATGAAGATTGAATGTTCGAATCAGGAAATGTGTGTAGATCAACTCATCAAATGCCATTCATTTTTGTTTTATCAATGGGATTTTTTTTGGCCATTTTATCCATTTTCTGTTATTGATATAGACCTGAAATCTGTTGTTATATGTATTTAAATTCTATTGCACAGCCTTGTTTTACCAAGGCAACAACTTTGTATACACATGCGGGTGAGCATATACATACACGTATGCATGAATTCTTTTGTTACTGGGTGGGCTACTGCAAGCACACATTTAGTTAGTATGCGGTGTTCACTTTAATAATTTTATGGGGTTTCTAATGTGTACCCACATTATTGGAAAAGAAAAAAAAGAGCATGACCACCTTGTCAGTTCTATAATTAGATATCTCCTGGTATTGGAAAACCAAATGATTCTGTTTGTTGCTTTTCTGTTTAGTAATTACCTACCATCATTATTTACCTTAAACTTTCCGCTTCCTCACTTTACAGTTTGTTTAACCCCAAATTAAATCCAACATACATACCCTCCTTTTATATAAATGGTGCATGTTTGTATGTCTGCAACAGATGTAACTGTATGAATGACCAAAAATAAAGGATGACAATCCTACTATTACAAGTTTTCTGCAGAGGGCGTAGCCGCACATCCAGCGAGGCAAAGACCCCCCAAACACACACACACTTTCTAAAAAGCTTATATCAATTGAAGAGGTAATTTCTGAGACCTTGTAAGATTCAATGACAGTTGGCATGACTCATCAAGGAATTTGTTGCTTGTTATTTTGCATAACTAAAGTTATCTGGGATTCTTAATTAATCTGCATATAACATGATGACTTTGGTCATTATTAAAGCTGGAAAGTTTACTAGGATATTGCATTTGTCTAACATCATAACATCAAGTTCTGTTTTACAATTCCTACAATAACTATAATCTACCTTGAACTGCGTGTTCCTCTCGTAACAAATGACAGCAGCATGGTGTTTTATCCTAACTTTTGATCCCACCCATTATTGTTAGCCATATTACATTCATTTTATGACAATTAATGGCTGGTATAAAAATCCACGAATATATAACTATTTAGGGATTTGTTGAATGTTGCACTACTCTCGTAATATGAACATACAGGCTCTTCTAGGAGGTTATATTTTACCCTTTCAAGTGCAGTTATTCTGTAATTATTGCCTTTTCCCTTATGGTTCTTCACTTTTGTCGTGGTTTTGTTTTGTTAGTCAGTCATTGTTATATCGGTCTTTATTTGTATATTTACTGAATAATAGTGGTTTAAATGGTGAGATTTTTTGGCATTGTTACTAGCAGAGGAATTGGAGAATGATTTGGACTCTCACAAGGAGATGCTATCATGAAAAATTAAAAATTTCTTTTACTGCAGTTACTATGTCGACAATTAGCTATATTGCAATTTTTTTTCTTCCTTTTTTTTCTTTTTGTTTCTGTTTCCTTTTCCCCACTATGCTTATGTAATGTGCATTAGTACATATTTACAGAGAGGAACCTTTGCATTGTGTTAATTTCCTCAAGTGCACATCCAGATGAACTACGTTGAATATTAAGACAGCTATTTTCCAGTACACTCAGCATCTAAAAGCTGTTTACTTCGGGATGATTTATAGCTATTTAACTGGAAAGCATAGTGATAGCCTAGTGGAATTGGATGTTTGCATGAAGTTACTGTAAGAGAACGATGTTTGATGTAAAGATGATATGTGATGACGCACCTAAGTTATGCTGAAAGGATGTGATCATGATACTTGTCTTTCTTCTTTGCAGTGCGATGGGGATGGTAGTTACTGATATTTGCATGGACAAAGAGCCAGATTGTGTCATAATTTATTCAAATGGGGTTTCCCATGATTTAAATCACGAGACTACTCCATGTGATCATGATGTTGCAAAGTCATATGAGCGTATTAATGGAGATCCAGAACCGCAGGTGTTGGAAGAGAATGCAGAAGTTAAAGAGTTCGAAGTAAAGGAATGCACTGCTGAAAAATCTGTAGAGATTTCTGAACTCTGTCAAGTTGAAAAATGTAAGGAGGAAATTGTACTGAGCTCAAATTGCAATGATGACTATGGGAAGATGAAATTTGAAGATCAGACAAGAAAGGATGAAAAGAAGAATTCTAAATCTTCTGCGAAACCTGCATCCAAACCTGGTTCCGGTAATGCTCGAACAAATCACACTGTTCCACGGCCATTTGCTCTGGCAACTGAAAAACGGGCTTCATTTGGGGCTCGTCCTGCTGGAAATGAAACTGATGTTGGTACTGCTGTGAGCAAAACATCTAATACAAACACTTTGCAGCACCCAGTGACTACAAAACAAAATCAGGTAATTGCACTAGTCCAGATTGTTATGTTTTGTTCTCCTGTCACTTGTTTATCTGTTTTTGGTCTTGGAGATTCTTGCAAGCCCTACAGTTCTCTTCTCTCTCTCTCTCTCTCTGAGTTCCTCTTAATGTCAGGCAAGCAAACACTTGCCTGTTTCCTTATCTTTTGTTGTTTCTCTCTTCACTAGATTGCTTGCTTTGTCTGTTCAGCAATTTACTTTTTTTATTGTTTTATGAATGTGAGGCTGTAAACTGTGTATAAGTTGATGGCTTCTAGCTTTTTATTCTTTGGCATGCAAGTTCTGCTTGTGTAAACTTAAGCAAGATCACAACGCTCTCTTCTCTGACTTCTCCCCTGCACGCTCCTCTCCGTGACCCATTTTTTTCTATTTTTCCTCTGCTTGCTCCTTTCCCAGGAATTGTATAATGAATGCTTTGTAACAAAAAAGAAATTCTCAAAACTTGTAATTTTATGAAAATATCACTGACTTGTGGTGTTGATAACTTGATGTAATGCCAGATCATGTATCTGTTTTGTTGCTGATCATGAAAATTTCCTATTTACCTTGCAGCTGGTCTCACCTTTGGTATCAAGGAAACCATTGCAACCTGATAATAAGAAGCGTCCTGATGAAGAAGATTCTTGTTCTGTTGCTTCCTCGTATCCTGTTATTCCAAGAAGTCTAGCTTGATTTATATTAATATATCTTTCTTTTTTCCTTTTCTTTTGCACTCCGTCTCTCTGACTCTTATGGGAAATCCCTTAATGATTCGAAGTACTGCAGCGTCAGCTCGGACTATTAAGTCCAAGACTGTTGCATCTGCTCCATTATTCAGATGCACGGAACGTGCCGAGAAACGGAAGGAGGTATTCCATCTTTGCATTTGAAATTTGTTTATGTATTTTGGAGCAATGAGTTCAAAATCAAACTCTGAATGATAACTTGTGTTCTTTATTTCTTCATTTTATTGCATTACTTTAGTTCTATTCAAAATTGGAGGAGAAGCACCATGCACTGGAGGCTGAGAAAACCCAATGGGAGGCAAGGACTAGGGTACATCTCTATACTCCTTTCTCGAGTTTGTAAATCTGTCTTAGAAAAAATTTCACCTTTTGCTCCAATACACGTTACCCTTAGAGAGATTTCTTGCCCTTTCTGGTTTATACTTATGTGCTTGGTGCCTCTATGTTTGCTTAATTGCTTGTCTAAGGAAAATAATTGACATGTATCTTCTTTGCATTTACCCCTTCCATTGATCTTCAAATTTTAGGAAGAGAAAGAGGCAACTATCAAGCAACTAAGGAAAAGTTTGTTGTTTAAGGCAAACCCGATGCCAAGTTTCTACCATGATGGGCCACCACCCAAGGTTGAACTAAAAAAGGTATTGCATTGATTTTCATGCTTATGCTCTTTCTATTGTCTAGCAGTAGAGCTTCTTGAGATTTTGTTTGAAGCACAAATTTTTCATAGTTTGTAGAGAATGACAAGTAGTTTTAAAACTAATAAGCGAAAAAAAGAAAAAAAGAAATGATCTCTAACTTAGTTTATTTGCATTATTATTGTTGTAAGTCATATTTTGGCTTTAGAAATTTAAAATCCATTGCTCTATTTGGATGACAGCCACCACCAACTCGGGCAAAATCTCCGAAGTTGGGTAGAAGGAAGAGCTGTAATGATGCCGCCGGAGACAAGGGTGTAGGAGCTTCTGGTCAAGGAACTCGTTACAGTCTTGGTAATTACAAAGATAGTACCACCGCTACTACCAACAAGAAGGATCAGATCAATCTCCAGAATGGCAATGCTGCTTTCAAATTCAAAGATGAACACAAACAGGTGAGAGAGACAAATCAGTCAATTTCGATCAAGTTAAATGGACACTCTTGAGTCTCTTGGTGTGTTTCTAATTTAAATGAGGGGAAAAGTCTGTTTTCTCTTGCTTTCTTGTGACTTATTTAAAGAAAAATATTTAATTCCATAAACCTGTGAGGACTTGTTGCAGGCTTGCATCGGTTTGTGTTATGTTGATTTTTTAATTGTAAATTTTTGTAAGCTATTTGTTCACATATATGTATAAAGAGATTCCAATTTGTCATAAATTTGCCTCTTGATCCACAGAGGAACTGTACATCTTTCCATATATTGATTTTTTTTATTTAATTTCACATTTTTCATTCACATTGGATGTGATTATGGGAAGTGGGAACTGTGAAAGTCATTTGCTGCCGAAGGAACCTAGGTTGAATTGTTTGTTATTGTTTTCTGTTTTCTTTTTCTAGAGTCTGGAGCCTAAGTTGAACTGTTTGGCGAATTGTTCGAAAAATTGTTTTTGGGATGTGAACTTTTTAGAAAACACCGTTTTCAAATATTTGAAAATTGATTTCGCACAAAAAACTAAAACAATATAAAAATGATGGGCTTTTCAAACTTTTATTGTTTTGTTTTTAAAAACAAGAAAAACAGAATCATACCCAACAAAGGATGCCCCATTCAGGACTTGCTGTTATTATGCGATTTGTAGATTTAGGAAACAGTACTTGCAACATTTTGACCTACAAGTTTTTTGCATGGAAAAATTTGTTGTTGGGAATGGGGTAGGTAGGGTTTTTTTTGGGTCTGATAATCCGGTAAGGGAGATAAAGTTACAAAGCGGAGGGCCCATTAAGATGTGCAGACACTGCTTTTATTGCTTAATTATGGAAGTCTAATAATGAAAAGCTCTTAAAGCAAAAGATACCCGTGTAAAGCATGTGGTGTCCAAATGTTTCCATTTGATATTCAGCAAAAGATGACTTTTTAATCAGTATGTGAAAGCAGAATTGCTAGGCAGTGAAAAGGACTTTTTTCTGTAGATTTGTAATACTTCTAGACTTTGAATTTTGCATTGTTAGTTCTCAGTTCTACAGTTGTGGGTGTTCTGCTTATTGATGGATTAATCTAATGATATTCAAAGGTTGATAGTCATTTTGAACATTATCTAGGTTTATTATGCATAGGGTAGCACTAAAACAAACCATTTTATTTGAGCTCGATTTGTGTTTGACTTGTGAAAATCTGTTGAGATTGACTTGAACATATTTTAAATCTCGTTAATTTTTATAAACTTGGCTAGAACTCGCCTCAATAAGCTTATTATAATAAAAAATAAAAAATTAAGCTACTTGACCTCATGTTTGAGATTGAATTGAAAAATAAATACATCAAGCTTAAATGTATTTTTTAAGCTCATTAGTTTTTAAACTCTACTCGAACAAAACCCATTACTCAACTTATTATTAAAAGAAAATTAAACTACTCGAGGTGAGTTAGAACAGTTTAACTATGCATATTGTATCAACTTTGTAGAAATTTAATGTATAAAGAGAAATAGAGAATTGTATTATTGATTGATTTATATTGATGTCTATTACAATGATTCATGATTCCTATATATAGAAGAGGGTGAGTGTGTAGTAGGTAAGGAGTAGGTGAAGTTGAGGTGGTAGTGGTGTAGTGGGTTAGGTTTAGTGGAGTAGGTTTAAGTGGGTGAAGTAGGTGGAGAGTAGGTGGATTTTAACAAACTTCAATATAAGAGAGAATTGAACTTATTGAATTGTCTATGGATTGGTAACCTGAATGCATTTGGAGTTAGATGCTTAAGCAGTGTTTGCTTGAATGAAGGCTAGAATAGAATGGTCAGTCAATCATAATACCCATTCCCACGTTTGGTTTGTTACAAAAGAAAGTAATGTACGTTTCAAATAGAATCGAGAATGATCATTCAATTAGAAAGCCAAAGAAAAACAATTTGATTCCTGTCCAAGATCATTCAAATGAACCAAACATTACCTTGGTTACTTGTGTGCATGAGCATGCGCACGCACGCGCACAAAATCATTTGGTAAAGTATTGGAAAACATTGTCGAAGTAAATCTAGATTCTATTATATAACAAACACCACAGTTGGTGTGAACTCACAAGTGAAACTGTAACAATTTTTTCTGCTTCAAAATCCTCATAGAAAAGTAATTCTTTTTAAGGTTTAAATTAGTTTTGTTTTAATTAATTGCAACAGCAAATATGTAAACCAAATTAACCAACATCTCTTCAATCAGAGAACACTTTCAACCTTAAATACTTTCTCTTCATATTTTATTTTCCTTTCCTCTGGCTAGACTTGTTACAGGGCAGTGCAGATGCCATATCATACAAATTTTGTTATCATAGGATGGCCTTACTATTAGGGAAAAAAGACGTGAAATAACATAATTGCCCTCCAAATCAAGGTCACCCATTGAACATTGAAGGACACTTTTGTCCTTTTACATCTTTTTTGACTGGCTGGCTGCCCTGACAATAGGATTGCCCTCTAAATTATGTAAACCTTAAAAAGAATGCAATGTGCCCTAGTTAAAGAATGACTTCAACTTTCCAAAAACCACCAAATCTCTATCAATTGTTAAAAGGATAATTAACCTAGGTCACATTTGTTTGGCTCCATAGGATGAAAGGGATTAGGAGTACGGTAGATTATTAGTGTGGTTGTATTAGCTTGGAGATGTAGGATAAAGTGTGTTTGTTTGTTTACTAGTGTGGTGGTAGTAGTTAGTTGGGATTAAATGTACAAATTATGTAAAAACCCTTATTACATAGAAGATAACTTTATTAATTTTATAAAATGAGGGACAAAATGGTCTTTTAGCCATTAATCCATGGGAGTGGACTAACAATCCCGCCTCTCTCATGGGTATGCTAATCCCACCATGGGAGGGGATTGATAGTCCCACCATGTCATTCCTCTACAAACAAACATGGCATAGGTGGGGTCCACAGATTACTAATCCAATCCCCCTCCCTAAACCTCCAAACAAACAAGGTTTGGTCCCTATTAGATAGGGATCTGTGAGGGGTAGATTAGGTATGGATCTAACATTTGTTATTATTTGTACAGAGTGACTGACTTTAGGTTCAAACTCAATCTCAAAGTTAATACGTCAAGTTTTAACCATTAAATGAGAATCTTCAAACATTTTGACATTTGAGGTTTTTACTCAGGCTATCATCGTTTTAACCTTAAATGTCAAAATATTTGAAAATACAAAAGGGCTTTGTTTTGTTGAATTAAATAGTGAGGCAGCTGACTTTGCTGCTGCAGTATTGGGTTATCAATGTATTTGATGCCAATCCATTGATTTCTCAGTTGATGCAGCACACAGAAATTGAATAGCTTTTATGCTTTTCTCTTCTTCTTCAATTTTCTTGTCTACTATTAGAGTTGATTGAGTGTACTTAAAGCTGTCCTAATAGTATTTGTTGTTTTTATTGAAATGTATATATAGAATCCACATAGGAACATTAAGCCCTCTTCTAGTATTCCTTAAGAAATACTATTTGGCTAGACTTGCAGTAGCATAGTGTGAATTTCGTCACATAATAGAAGCCATTGTACTCAGAGTAACTGATATGCCTTTGAGGTTGTTTTATGGGTCGACACTAGCGACCAAAGGTTTTTAGAGGCCGCGGGCCTATACTGTTGAGCCGGTTCTGTCAGTCAATATCTTTAAGTAACATCATCAAACCATTGAATACCCAAGTCATTTTCTTGATTCAAAGCAGTTTTTGCAACTTTTACAATATCAGAAAGGCATTTAAGCAATAGTGAGCTCCATCTTCCACAGTTAACATCACTTTAACACACTTTTCCTTTACCCATTCTTTCACCATAATGCCCACTTCCCATTCTTCTTTACTCTGTCGGCTCTTCTCAAGCTTTAACTAGCCAAGCTGTCTTCTTTTCTATTTAAGCTTGGAATTACACTATTTTTGGGTTGTCCTCATTGATGAAGGTTCCCCCACCTCTCATTTTCTCTCTTTCCACTAGTGGGAAGCAAAGAGACCTCCTCTTTTAAAAATCATGTCAAGGGATTGAGATCTTCTGTCCTAAAAATTCATACCCCTTTGTTTCTAATACATTTTCAATCACACGATACATGATTATGTGGTTGGGAGTACAATGGGGACATGGCACAAAGATTTTGGTATAGAGGAATATTGTTCGTATATCATTACCTTAATAAATATCAAGTTATCAAGGTAATGATATACGAACAGAATTCCTCTATACCAAGCTATCAATTTATCAAAAAGAAAAAAAATTTAATATCAAGTTATCAAGTTGTGATCAATTGGTGATGTGATTCTCAATGAGATTGATCCATCAGATGGACTTTAGAAGTGCTACAAATTTTCCTTGTAGAGTTATTTCTTAGCACATGGGTTAGTTAGAGGTCAGAGGCAGGTAAAAAGCAGAGTTTTTGATAGTCTTCCATTACATACTAAAAAAAACTAGTCTTTTGACCTTAGCATCAATGACAATGGTCTTAACTTCCTTTTTTGATTTGAACTCCATTTATTATCAATAGCAATGGTCTTAACTTCACCCACCAAACTTGTTTTATTGGTATGTATCTTCAACATCTCTTTTTGAATACAAGGGTATGTTTGGCTTTGTTAAAATATGTTTTAGATTTGTTCACTTTCTAGGAGCTTGCGATTGGATGTGTGGGTTAGTTTGGGTTAAATAAAGCTTGAGGGCCAATAAAGCATTTTTAATAATGGGTATTAACTACTCAGCCAGACAAAGCCTTAATGAGTTGTTTTGTGTGAAAAGCATGATATGGAAGGTGTAGAAAGTAAGGACTACATGTCATCTGACTCCAAAAGAAGCTCTCATCCTCACGTATATAAAAGGCTCATGAAAATGAATGCATGGCAAAATCAATATCAAACAGTCCTCTCTCTCTCTCTCTCTCTCTCTCATTAAGAGTTGAGGGGAATGCTGTCTGGTTCGCGACCATTCATCTGAAGGATCTCGGACCAGGCTTCATTCCCCCCAACTCGAGAAGTTTGCATTCACAATGGCCTTAACCATTCAATTGGAGACCCTTCATTTCTCATTGATCAATATCCTGATGTCAAAATGTTCACACACAAACACACGTTTCTCTCATTCTCTCAAAAATCTCATGTAAATTGGTGTTCTAACATTCTTCTTCACTTTTTTTTTTTTAATATATCAACAGCAAAGGAAGATCTTGAAGAATTATATATGTGGAAGTACTAAAGCTGAGAAAGGAGGCAATCCACTACAACCAACAGTCTAAGAAGGTACATACTATGGCCTATTTTGAAGAAAGTTGTTGAGTGAGTCCTGAAAACTTCAGTTTACAATGTTACTTCTGTCATTAATAGTAAGAATCTGGTATTCATTTTTTTCACAGAAGACATTGAAGGAAGTATGGAAATTCTAAGCATATGTAGTGTCATCCATTGATCTGAACAGGTTAGAATTTTGTCACCTTTTAAGCAAATTCAATGAAGAATTATTGTTGCAATGTAAATTTTCTTAGAACGACCTGTTGTTCCAGTTGGTTAGTGACTTGGAATGCTGCGCTCGTTGTTGGGTTCGACTCCTTCCCCCATACGGTAGGAGTAGTTGTCATGCTGTATTTTGTAGAATTATTACTACAGAAGTTTTGCTCCAAAAAAAAAAAAAAAAAAAAAAAAAAAAAAAAAACTAAAAATAAATTTGTAGTAGTAGTTGTCATGCTGTATTTTGTAGAATTATTACTACAGAAGTTGTTTTGCTGCAAAGAAATGTACTTGCTATGAGAAGCTAAATGTGACTTTAATGAGTGGAGAGAGAATTGTAGTTTGGTCGTATTTATTCAAATAGTAATATTACGTACGCGGAAACAGTACTCTAGAAAATATCTTCAAAATAAAATATGTAAATTAAATTTATTTTATCACATTAAATTTTAATATACATAGCTTTTCTGTTGTTGAAATTCACTTTTGTTCTTTCAAGTTTGCTTCTGAATCCACACTTAGTCTGCCCATCTTTCTTTGTTTTTCACCAAATTCTTTGAAAAACAGAGATGGGGTTAGTGTGAAAACATGACTTGACAAAAATCAAAACTGGAAAAAATAAAGTTAGATTTCATCTTTTAGCAGTTAGGGTCTTTTACAAAATTGGACTTTGCTTGCAGAGAGTTACAAAGAATATAAGTTTAAGCTCAGAGAGCTTTCACTTTATGTTTTGTTTGGATGATAGGAAAATCAAAGTTTAGGCTTTGAAATTTCACAAACTTTTTTTACCTTAAGACCGTCATCATAACGCTTGCCCTTATAGTCTTTGGCTGATTCCTAACTTTTGAACCACCAATACCATGTGGGTCTGGTCTTATTCAATGTGGGTCTCTTGTCCATCAAAAACCCTATATTATCATGTGGCTCTGTTCCAGACATCTTGTAGCCCCCCTCCAAAGTTTTGTTATTATGTGGGTCGTCAGATTTTAATCCTTGTGGGTCAGATCTAAATGAGAAATTTAACACTACTACTATTCTTGTGGGTCAGTTGTGTACCTTTTTTGTCTGCACACAGCACATGGAAATTGGTATGACACAGGCATTGCCTCAGCTAAACATTAATGCTAAAAATTTTATATCAAAATGTAGTGCTTTCAACACAGTCATTATTTTTGTAAAGTGTGAGCTCTATTCACGGTGAATGTAACATTATTGTCATTATTCCGGTGAAATGGTGGCTGTATCCAAGATGAACGTATTCTTTTCCCTATTTGTTTGATATAAACTATTAGCTAGTTGTCTCTTGTGAATTGGGGTACCCAAATTTGAGTTAGAGAATTGGCTTTTGCATATAAAGATAGTGACTTAAATGTGAATGTGATGCAGATAAGGGTGTGCACTAATTGGAGAAGTGTGAAGTGGACAATGATTTTTCTTGATCGTTTTATGTTTTTCTTAATTTGGAAACATTAATATTAAGGTCATTGGGAATCAATGTAGCACATGGGAAAGTTGACCAAAATTGTTAATGATTTTGGACCATTTTCTCAATCAAGGTACAAATGTCAACAACATGAAGCATTAAATAATGATTCTCTAATTTACAATGTCTACACACACACACACCCATCTCTGTTCAAACAGGATCTATTTGGTAATGTTAATTGGACAAGAAGGCAAGCAAATCGAGTTTGTCATGATGATTTGTAATGACAAGCAAATGAAAAGTGCTAAAATCCAATCTAAATTATGATGTGCTATTCAACAAACTTTCACTTTTTTTTTTTCCTAGGCTCATTGATTTTTGCAATAATGATTAAACCATACACTAAGTAAGAAATGACATTTGGATATTACATATATGTATATACACTATGGCCATGTTTGATTCACAACACTAATAGTGAGGTATTAATAATCCTATCAAATTAGTGTGGTATTAACTATCCCACCCCTACCCCATTACTAATAATCCTACAAATTTGTTGGATTAATTATCCATTGGATTAATAATCCTAAATCAAAGTGTCAAAACAAACATAGGATGATTGGGCCCACGGATTAATAATCCCAATCCCATGCTTTAATTCTTCCAATCAAACATACTCTATAAGTACCGTACACATGTTAGATTTGATAGTTATCGATTAAAATAGTTCGTTCAAAACAAAAAAAAAATTAAAATAGTTGAATGTGATTTGTAACTGTTTGAGACCATGCCTAACATGAATTGATTTCAATCTATACCAACTCAAAAATTGATTTTATATAATAAAATATATATATATATATATATATATATCATTGAACACCAATTTTGAGTAGTTGTGAACACTGTTGGAGTCAAAAAGATCACAAGAGAGACAACTTGAGTATGAATGAGAAGAAAGCAATTCCTATGCTCGATAAAGGTACCTCAAAGTAGAAGATGAATTGTTAAGACACTTTAGAGTGCTTTTTATCACGACTTGACTATATATTCAAAATTTTACAAGCATTCAACAAGAAAATTAGGAAACTTAGAAAAGTCTATTTGGAAAAGATTAAAAGGAAAAAAAAAAAAAATTGTTGGGTAATGTGATATCAAAAGTATAGGTAACACAAAGTTTGATTTAACAAAATGAACATAATATATAATCAACATTGCTGCAAACCCCCAGTGGGGGTCAAACCCCAGTGAGGTGGCGAGCCCCCACTGGCTGAAACTCAAAAAGAAAAAAAAAAAAAATAAAACAGTTTTTTTTTTGCCCAATCATGGCATGCCACCTCACTGGGGGGTCGACCCCCAGTGGGGGTCCGAAGCATTTTTCATATATAATATGTAAATTATTGAGTCATTACATCTAAGTGTAGTGAGACCCATTGATATGACTTGATGATAAAAATAATATTACTGTTAACTAACGTATATTAGCATGAATTAGAACTTGGCATTGTTAACCAACGGTGTTAATGGAGAAATATTAGTATTTTTTAATTATTGGGTAAGATTTAATACATAGATTATTTAATTTGTAAGGCCTCGCTTGTCAACTATATATTTTAGTCAAAAAGTCAACAAATTACTATAAGTTGTCGCATCAGTCTCTCTACTTTTCTGTATATTTTTTCATAAAAAGTTAAAAATTTATTAAAATAGTCGGTTTCAGTGTGTTGCAAAGTTCTATCGTTATGTTGCAAAATGACAAATCTTTCTTTTCTTCTTGGGGTGCTAATTTGACGTTTAAAAAAAAAATCAATCAGCTTGTTTGTTTTCAATTTTCAAAAAATTTTACTTTTTTATTTTTCATGTTTTAATGTTTTGAATGAATTTTTTTAATATTTTAAGCAATTTTTTTTTAAAAAAATTTTAGACACGCCTAACACAAATATACTTAAAAAGTATAATATTTGTGAAAAAAAATATTTAAAAAATACACAAAATACCAAAAAATATAAAAAAAAATGAAAATTCAATATATTTTTGTATTTTTGTGTATTTATTAATTTTTTAAAATATTTTTTCATAAATATTTTACTATTTAGATATATTTAAGTAAGGTGCATCTAAAAAAGTAAAAAAATTACTTAAAATTTAAAAAATATTCACTAAAAACAAAAAAATATGAAAAATAAAAAAAAATTAATTTTTAAAAAACTAAATTCAGAAAATTAAAACCAAACACACTGAATAAGTCTTACTTTCTCGCTATTAGGAGGTGAGAAGTATTTCATTTCTCGGAGGGCTAATTTCAGCTAGGAAGAAAAATTCGGTAAGTCATACTTCTTTCAATAGAATACCATGAACTCCTATTTGCTCGTCATAGAATTGAGTGGTAGTTTAGTTGAAAAGTATACTCACTGATTTTTTTTGTTTTTTGTTTTTTTTTTTACAATTTTGTAGGTACTCACACCACCTTGTTCAAAACATGATTTATAAAATGAATTAAAGATCCCAAGAAAAAAAAAGGGGGAGAAAGAAGAAGAAAGAATTAATTAGAATTCTATCTGGGAGCTGTTTTAGGATTTCATCAAAGTTTTATTAGCTTTGTTATGCATGAAATTACATGCTAATCCCTCCCCTATATAAGACACTAAAAGTAATATAATATTATATGGAATCAACAACTCCTGCTACTTTCTTTGTCTAACATTATTATTATTATTTTTGGATTGGGTTTCTCTCCAATCCGTAATTGGACTGGAAGGTATTGTTAGGCCCGTAGAGGTCCACCCCGGGTCTCGTTTAGATAATTTGAACCGTTCAATGTGTAGAACTCATCGAATACTATGTGTTTGTAAAAAATTAAGTTGATCGGATATCGATAGCTATCTCATCGAATTAGATTTTTGTCAACCATTTATTTTTTCACCATTATTTTTTTAATACAAAACTGATTTGATCACATAGTTATCGATATCCAATTAATGTAAGTTTTTACAGGCATATAATATTCGACAAGTTTTACACATTAAACGGTTTACATTATCGAAATAGAACCTGTGATGAACACCACAGGTCTAATAATACCCTCCCATCCGATCACCGACGGGAGGAAAGCCAACCCCTATTTTTTTTTTTTTTATGTACTTAAACAAGAGTCAAGAGGTTTTATACACAAATAATTAGTAATTAGTTAGACTTGGGTAGTTGTTGAGGATTGGACAAAGAAAGTGCTAGTATGTTGGAACCAAACAGTTCAACTACCAATGAGAATGCCATTTCAAAATTATTTTATTCTCTTTCTCTCTTTCTTCTTGGCCACGTTTAATTTGGTTTGTTGGTTAAAAACATGAAACATTCCTCACTAATTGGTGAGACCCACTTATCTTATACTTAGGTCAAGTTTGACAACTCTTAAAAAATTCAAAAAGTCACTATCTTATTTAAATCATATCATCTTATTTAAGTCATATCACCTCTCTAACACATCACTTCAAACCCAACCTAAATCCAACCTATATTTCATAAAAAGTCAAAAAGTGCACTTATTTAGTCTTTCTAAACTTGGCCTTAATTGCATAATTTGAAGATAGGATAGGGCGTTTATTGTACATCCTCGTCAGGCCATCTTAAAGGAAATTATATTTATACAATTTTTATAATTAAATAGATCAATATATATAGATTCATAAATAATAATTAAAAGGGTATTAATTTATTTAATCTTAATTCTTATAAATGAGATGCTACATTACCCAACACCATATTTAAATTTGAATCTTACTATTATAACTGTGTGAGTGTAATTTCATTTTTCTACTCCCTTCCTACCATTGTAACAACATAAAAATAAAACCTCATGGAAGGCGGGGACAGTACTAGGTATAAGCATATGAGGTTTACTGACTCATCCAATTATTATTAATTTTTTTTCCAGTAATTTGGTTATTTTCATAATGCCAAATTCATAATTTGA